AAAGTAGGTAAAATTTTTATAAAAGTGAAGATAAACGACAAGAATTACTTAAGCCCAGAAAATTCGTTGCTAAATATATGCATACTCATTCTAAAACTCATAGTGAATTATTAAATCCTACTACAGACTCTATGCTTTCTGGTTTATTTCAAAGTTCTAGATCTTCGGCATCAATCAAACACTGTAGATCTTTTCAAAACATTAGAAGTTATTCGTTTAATAAGATTACGTAAATAGAGAGTTCATTATCTTTTTTAAATTATGATTAAAAATTGAAAGTAATAAATTAGTCTCCAATTAAATGGATATTGACATATAGTCCTGAACTCTTTAAAAACACTAACAATCTGAATTCAACGATAAACCCATCAACTTCAAAGAAGCACTATCGATAAAAATGGTGATTGTAAGTTTAAATTTAATATTTAATTATTTTATCGATCTAAAAATATTGCTAAACTTATTTATGATATTATATTTATAAAATGAAACTAACCGATGAAAATTTGGTATGCTTTGCTATTAAACTTAGTACTTGCTGTATATTTATTTATTGAAATAATATTAATCAAACTATTTAACATCATTAACCTGTATACTTGCTTGAATACGAAATTTATGAATTTATCGCTATATATAAATTCACATCAATCAGTTAGCAAGAAATGTTGGATTCACATCCATATGTCTTGTCAATAACTGAAGCCATTTACCGGATTACCTACTTGAGCAATTTAAACTTGAATCATGATAAGCTTAGTTTTGAGGTGGAAAAGCCCTAGCTGAAGCTCTACGTACAAATCCCACCTTAAAATACTCGGATTTGAGTTCAAAAAACTATGAAATGGAGTGGGACAAGGATAGCTGAGGCACTAGCCGATAATATCACACTTAACCAATTTGAATTTAGAAAACAACAAGCTGGGCGGTGAAGCAGTAAAAGCACTAGCCAAGGCTCTGCATAATAATTAATACTACCTTTTTGTGCTTAAATTTAAATAATGAAATAAAAACATTGGCTGAAGCTTTGTTCAAAAATACAAACTTAACTAATTTAAATTTAAGTAATAATGACTTGAGTGAATTGACAGGAAAAGCACTGGCTAACGCTTTATGCAAAAATAATACCTTAGCTAGTTTAGATTTAAGTAATATTAAGCTAGGTGGATCAGTAGAAAAAGCACTTGCTGAAGCTTTATGCAAAAATAACACCCTTACTAATTTAAATTTAAGTTCGAATAATCTTGGTAAATTAACAGGAAAAACGCTGGCCGAAGCTGAATTTAAGTGATAATGGACTAGGTGAATTAGGAGGCAAAGCGCTGACCGAAGCTTTATGCAAAATTCCACCTTAACTAATTTGGATCTAAGCAATATTAGAATAGGTGATTAGCAAGCAAAGTGCTGGCTAAAGCTTTATGCGAAAATACCGATCTAAATAGTATAAATTAGAATATAATGTGCTAGGTGATTTGACAGAAAGCACTAGCTAAAGCTTTAAGCAAAAATATCACCCTAAATAA